GACGAGTATGAAAAGCGTTTTACACTACGTTTTTTGAACAAAAAGATTGTTAAACCATCTGAAATTTATCGAAAACTTATGACGATAAATCGTGAAAATGCAATGAGTGATGAAATAGCGAAATGGTTGGTCATGATGACATATGATGAATGGTTCGTCAGTTCAATGATTGATGTACCAATGTCCATTATGGAGTGAGCATCCCTCTTTTGTCAATGATGATTTGGTTGCAAAAATGATTGAAAAAATTCAAGAAAACATACGGTTCACAATACAAATGCTTTTTTACGAGTTATCACAAGTTTCAAAGATTGTTTTAAATGAGATAGTTGCAAATCGATGACGATGAAAAATGGTGTTCAGCAATGACTGTTGCTAGTGGTAGCATATTTCTTTGAGGAGTGTATAGACAAGGTGATTTTCCTCTATGATGAAAATCTGAACAATGTTATAAAAGAAGTAGAAAAATAGATTCTGAAATGTCCTTTCACAAAAGTATTAATTTTGTCATAAAAAAACATTTTATGTTACTTATTCCATAGCAGTACTTAATTTACGGGCGTACGTCGTATGTAAATTAAACATGGTGTATCAACACGATTAGAGTAAGTTTATATTGAATTCTTGCATTAGCCTTAAAAATTGTTATAGAGGTATTGTACACGTAAGACACGTATAGACACGTAAAATACATTCTCATTAAACTATATTTATGAGTAAATGACTCGCGATGCATGAAAACAAGATCTGACATCATCTCAGCTTATTTTTATAAAATATGGTTCCTGAACCCAAATACCACCCTCATCTTTCCTTAACAGCAACCATTTTCTAAGAATAACCCCCCTGTATATCTCACTTTTCAATAATTACATGATTATGGATTTTATTTGAAGAGAGAATAAAGGGTTATTTTTATAGTTCCAATGATGAATTTATATGTTTATTTTAAAACATGAATTGTAGCCAGAAAAGAGGTTTTGGGAGTTTTATCTCATAAATAATAGAACAAAAAAAATAAAAATCTTTGCAAATGATAATTATTTTGCAGGTTGTTATTCGAAATTTTTAAAATTACTTTTTACATATTCCAGTTTACAGCACTATCTTCTTACCCAAGCGCTCTTTAAAAAAAAAAAGATAAATATTTAGTCATAATTTTATATGTAAGGGGATAAGGGGAAGAGAGGAAGAAGTCCTTGTTAAAAATTCCGGATCAAAACACGGTAGAGGGAATCGATACTCAGAATTATAATTACTACTCTGAAAATTACGGTATAATAATTCACAGCAGAGGTAGTTTTTACAGAAGATGCACCTAAAGTGCTGGTACCTATTTAGTAATTTGATTTAGAATTTTTTTTCAAAATACTGTAAATCTTCCAAACTTTCTCCTGGTAGATTTTTATTTTTTCTGTTAAACTTTATTGAACGGCAAGGCTATGGGAGTGGAAAAGCTAGCATAATGTGTGTTGAAATGAGAAATTTGGGTGGGGGGGGCACTTCTTTACAATTAAAAAAAATAATAATGAGCAATTATAATTTTTTTCAGAACTTCTTAACTTATTTTAGCGATACTTAAATTTCTAGAACCCATTTTCCTCCGACAAATAATGCAAATATTTAGATACAATTTTAGATAAAAGCAGTTGAGAGGGAGAGATCAGGAAGCGAGCATACAGTGTCCCTTTGAGCTTTGTATTGAACTTTGTCGCAGTTAGTAAAAATTTTTACTTAATAGATTTATTTTTTGAGGGTAATAGGAAGAGATGAAACAAACCCGGGAACATAAATTTCTAGAAAAAAGATGGGAAAACTACCAAAGGATCAATATTTTTTTTTTCAATTTGAGAAAGCAAAATCTGCCAAACTCTTCTTAATTGCTACAGTTCTTCTTCGATGTAAAATTCCACCCCTCCCCTACAAGGGCTCAGAAAAATTAATAGTTAAAATAATTATTTCCTCTTTATTGGCGGTCCTGAAAATCTGGCAAAAATGTTAGGAAAACTCCCAGTGGGAGGACTTCCTTACCGCTCAGTTTCAGTCAAATTTTCGTAAAATATTTTTGTCATTACGGGATGTTTAAAAGGGAAAAAATAGTTTTCCTGCAAGCTGGAATCTGCATTAAATAAGTTAAAAAAATTGCAAAAAAAGCAGACCAAACGGACATTTTTGTTGATCATGAAGGGACAATCTATTTCAGGGGGAAATCTCCCACTTATCTCATTTTTGGCTACAACTGCCAATGAGTCGGAACTTTCAATTCTTCTAAGCCCTTATTAGAATTCGAATGGTAGAAATAATAATTTTTCCTTTTCCCAAATCAAGTTCTCACCCATTAAATAGACAAAAGTTGATAATGATAGGGTTGATAAACACTCTGCTTCCAGAAAACTGTGGCTGATAGGGGTACACGGGGATCATATAAAGATTCTAGTGGCACTTTTACGTAAGAATCAGTAGATACAGTGTCATATTTTTGTTTGCAGTTCAATATGATTAAATAGTTGGAAATAAGTTTCTTAAGAATCTCAGTTACTTAGCTAACTGGTATTTTCATAATTCATTTTACAGCGAGGGTTTTGAAAGAATTTTTTCAGTATTAATATTTTTGAAGCACTTTTACTTTGGATATTAAATTGTAGGTATAATATACCAATATGTTTGGTAGGTGATATAACGATTTAAAAACTCCAAGTTACTACACATGGTAAATTGCAGTTTAATGATACACTATTGTTCCATCAATAATTCAGATAAACTTGTTAGAAAGTTAGCTACGAATTTTTAATCCTTGGGGTCATAAAATTTTTGCATAAAACAAAAGCAATCGTAGAACTTTATATTAGATAGTGAAACTGTTCTTTTACATGGAATTATTCACTTAAATTTTTTAACTTTAATTGACTGAAAAGTTGTAATGCAGTGCTTAGTTTACTTTTCAATTCAATAATTTCCCAAGAAAAATTACTAAATTCTTTTACTTGATTATTAAGTTGAATGATTTAAACTTTTCTGTAATATTTCCTGATCAGTAATTTTAACTAATTACTAATTATTTTATACCCCATGTGATGTATGATAAATGTTGATGACGCAAAATTAAACGTGAACCTTATAAGTTAGTTGGAAGCTTCATTCATACTATTTTTCGTAGGTTTTAATCACGATTTTTTATAAACGGTAACTTTTCAACTTTATCATTCATCAATATCATCAATATTTATCATTCCTACAAAAACAAAGACACACTTCAATAAATTTTTTAAATGTAAATGTATTGTTTTCTTTGACTATTTTATTGCATCTAAAACAACGTATACTATTTGTTTTCATACATTCATTATAAGATAACTTTTGTTTCGCAGATGATGTAGTATTGTCGTTTCTTTTTTCAGTTTGCCATTGCTTATGGAAATGTCCGACCAAATCCAAAAGCCCACAATGTGTGCCAGGATATGAACCCGATGGACAAAACATGTTGCAAGATTCAACTGGTAATTAGAATTTTCTAATATAATGTATTGAATTTATGTAAAATTGAGGAAATATTCTACATGTATATTTAAAATAAAGGAAAATAAGTTATATAGTTTTACTTACAGCATTTTCGTTTTATTTATAAATAAAATATATAGAAATCATTTATCAATCTTTTGATATCAAAAAAAATATCAAATTGCAAATTTTGCAAATACCTATTCATTTTGATTCTGTTTATGATACCGATGTTTCAATTCAATATTTGTAAATTTCGTATCGAAAGCTTCTTACAGTTTTTATGAGTTCTTAATTTTTCTACATAAAGAAAATGTAAAACTGTAATGCTGAAAGAGTGAATCGATTAACAACCTTAATTTTAGAAGCAATTCTAAAGAAAGAAAAAGAAACAGTAAATGAGCATAAAAATTAGCTTTAAAAAGTCGGGAAAATAAGCTATTTTGTGCAAAAACTATCTTTAAATTTAAATAAAGTTGTCAAGGGCTTAACATTTAATAATTTTGCACCGTTACATAACAGTATTGGAAATTCTTGGATTTTACTTAATGCTGGGAATAGATGTGATTAAAGATTTCATGTAAACAGAAGTATACAAGAACTGAACTGTTGCTTTTTTTCATGGAAAAAAAATATGATGTAAACATTTATTTCAATTATTAACTTTTGTGATAATTGTGATGGATAGTTATATATCATGAATTTATAACAGTAAATTTTATATCCGAATGTCTTGAAATGATTTTGAAGTTAAGAATTAAAAGATTTATATAAGTGATTTTTAAGTTGATTTTTTTAATATGAATCCCAGTCTATTTGGAGGACACTATTATACATTCATAGATACTATAAGACCAATAGTAACCGACCTACCCCCGAAGGAGTTTGCGGATAAGGGTTTCACCCGTTTGCACGTGACTAAACACTACCAAACTACAGAAAAGTAAAAGTACTAAATTAAAAAGATTAAAATACATAGGATAAATCCCAAAATCGAAAAAGTAAAATAAAAATAAAACGGAATAAAGATTAAAAGTGCTTAAAACATCAAAGTGGATAAAATCAACCGACAATAAAAGTGTCAAGAATGCAGGTAAAAACATACAAAAGTAAGGTCAAGTAAAACATCAAATGGTAAAATATGAAAAATCACATTAAAAATAAAAGGACTAAAATAAGCCCAATAGAATAAATAAAATAGTCGACTAAAAGTTCAAGTGTCTCCCTTTCAAGGCTAAGTGCCTCTAAGATTAAAATGTTCTAAGGTAAACCAAAGTATCACTGAGGTGATAACACTCAAAGATGACCCCAGGTAAGACAGAGGGTGCTGAACTTGACCAAGAGCAAGATTTCATTTTGAATGTCCTATGTATAAGGAAGATGCCAGTTTAAGGGGAGAATAAACTCATGGAAACGGCAAGTGCCAGAGTAAAATCCTAAAAGCAGAAATTTAAAACCAGAAAACCTAAAAGCCGAAAGTTTAAAAATAAAACCAGATAAAATTAGTCAGGTGTGCTCGCAGGGGCAAGCAGATCATCGAGGGTATATTCAAGAATTTCGATGATTTTCTCCCTGCAGTCAATATCAGCATAAAGTTGATGTTGAGTGTATTGATCCAATTTTCTGCCACGGATCCTCTGGAATTTGGGACAAAATTTTATGAGGTGGTCAATGTCTTGTACTTTGCCACAAAATTTACAATTTGCTCGTTTATTGAAAAATTTCTGCTGATATATTCCGAAAACTCCGTGGCCCGTTAAGAATTGGTTTAAATAGAAGTTTGACTGCAGGCGAGTTAGTGTGGGATCTTTAAAGAAATTATATGTCTGCCTGCCCTTTGTTGATTCACTCCAATCAATTTTCCATTTATTCATTGTGGCTTGCTTGATGTATCTAATAATGAATGTTCTTTCCACTGGGAGCATCGTTCCCACCCGGCTGAAGCTTGTGGCCTTTTTGGCTTGCTGATCCGCCTCCTCGTTACCTTCAATTCCAATGTGTGCTTTGACCCAGTAAAGTTTAATACTTGGTGTTATATTTACTTTGATCTCTTCAATAATCTTATTTCGATTTCTTGGGTCATTTAGACTTTGTAACGAGGACAGCGAATCAGTATAAATTTTCGCATCTTTGTAATTTTTGTTTTTGATGTAAATAACAGCTTGTTTAATAGCCTCCAGCTCCGCCAGGTAAATACTTGCTTCATCGTTTAATCTATTGGAGATTAGATCGATTGTAAGTCCATTTTGCTTCACGACGATTGCGTATCCTACTTTACTCTGCATTGGTTCGCTACCATTATCATCAATTTTTGATCCGTCTGTGTAGATTTCGATGTTATTGTTATCCGGTTTTCCTTTGCTCCAGGGTACAGCGAGAGAAGTAGCTGGGTGCTTGAGGGGTGGCAGAGACTCCAGGTATTGGGCATGTGTTAAATTAGTGCTAACCAAATTTAGGTCGTCCAAATGCCATCCCCATTTTAATCTTTTATAATAAATTTCGTCAATTATTTTATAATGAATGGGTTTGATTCCCGAAAGTATTTGCAGGGATCATAGATACTATAAGTTAAATATTGTCTGTCTTTCATCACTGCACTACGTGAATAACGTTTAGAGCACGAATTCATGTTCTTCGGAATTGCTAAATACGTAATCACATGAAAAACTTATTCTGATAAACTTATTCTGAAGAAATATGGTTAATAAAACCAAAATTTACGGTATTAAAACCATTCATTTAATAATTTTTCTGTTCATATGGTGATTGTTTAATGCAAATATTGGTTTTTAAAATTATAGTTCTGCTTACTATACATTTAGTAAAACATGCAAAACCTAAATATAAATTTAACCGAATAAACCGTTAATAGCTGTTGTAAGCCACTATCTACAGTGCCCTCATAAAACTACCATATTTTACCCCATTTACCATATTTTATCGCATATTATGAAACCACATTTTATTGTAATTTTATCAATATCATTATCAAATCTCTTTGGTGTTCCCATAGAGGCAGAAGAATGGTAAATTTTTATCATGATCTAGTAGTTTTGACCATATTTGTTTTCTCAGTGCGCAATAATTAATTGAAATTTCTAGTTACTCAATAAATCAAGTGAATATAGTCAGAATCTTTTCATCTCAGCGAATTCAACATAAATAAGTTAGCAATAATGTAATATTAGGTAAAATAAATATAAATTTGAACTTAAGAATATGTCCTACTACATAAACCTGGGTGCCTCAGAGATCAATGCTTAGATATGAAATAAAACAATAAGCTATATCTATCAACTTAAAAATTACAAAACTACGAGTAAAACATGTACTCGCTTTGATATTTGATAAAGTTATATCCAATAAATAACAACAAAATATCTGCGTTAAAATTTAGGAAAAAAGCTTGTAAATAAAAAAAAAATCCTTTTCAAATTTACTGTCTTCAGACATCCGTGCAATTCACTAAGCCTATTTTCTACTACAACCTAGACAAAGTGCCAGATTCCTTACATTATCTCTTTTAGAAACTACCAAATTCTTTAACAAGTAAATCAGCTTAACCCAGCAAAATAAACTAAGTAAGCCCTTTACCGTATCGGAATATAGCAAAACTAGAAGACACGAAAAACATGTTTTTAGTACAAACTCAAGTTTTCTCTTCTTTCAGTGTTAACTCCCTTGGCACATTTTCGTCATAGAAGCAAAAATTTTTGTTCTCGGAGGGCTTTGAATAAATTTTAAGCCTTCATGGTAAAAAAGATAGACCTTCATTTTTTCAAGCGTAAAATATGACGTTTCTTTCAGAACGAATTCTTGATTTTGTTTTCAGTTTGGATGTCTGTAGTGTTTCTTTTCCTTCGCCAAAACAAAAGCAAGCATATATTGTATGTAGTTGAAATGAAAGAAAGATTTTAGAAGGTTGGAATGAAAGTCAAAAGAATAGTTTAATTTTAGCTCATGCGATGCAAAAGGGAAATTGAGAAACAAATAACAAGAAAGTTGGTTGAATCATTACTTTTTGCTATGTAACTTTGTTTACTATCAAAAATGCTTATAATAATTAGTTTATAAAATTCTCAGCTAAATTTAAAAACAAAAAGTATTATAAAATGTTTATCAACTTTAGGTGACTTAACAAAACATAAATCAGTTACTTTCTTTTCAAAAACGAAAGTAAGTATGTTGCATACGGAACAAATGAAAGGCAGATACTAATATAATGATATTTACTTATAAAATAAAGTTTCTTGTGTCATGAATATGTATATAGCCTATGAAAATTGAAGAAACTAATATAATGGCTTCTATTTCTGTAGATTTTAGGCAGTTAAAAGAACAATTTTAAGCATTCAATATGATTAAATATTTTTTTTAAATATATTTTATTTAAAAAGAGAATATAAGTATAAAATTTTTGCGAATTTGAAACAACGTTTATTTTTTAGTAATCTCTCCCTCACTCTCCATATATATATATGTAGTCTTTATCTAAAAGAGTTTAAAGGGTAAAGCGGAAATATTTATTATTCTTATTGTTCAATAGCATACAGTAAAATTATCAATTATATATTCAATAATGTAATGTTTGAAAATATGATTATGTGCGACATTTTTAACATAGATATTCTAAATTTAAGAAAATAACAACGAAAATTCTAAAAATGTCTTTACATTTGTTTACACTTTTCTTTAAATCATAAACCAAATTTTAAGAGCAGAAAATGCTAATTACTTTAAACAATGTTAAAAAAAACAATTTTAAATTATATTAAAGTTCAGTAATTTGATTTAAAGAGAATTTGATTAAAAAAATACTATTTCAAAAAATAGTTTATTCGTGTTTAATTTTTAAAATATATGATTTACTGTAAAAATAAAAAAGTAATAATTGTAGATGAATTTAATCAAACAAAAGGAATTCAGTCTTCATATTTCAAAACTAATTAAACTTTTTTAAAAAAAGTAAAATTCTTCCAAACTTCGTTTTTTTTTACGGTCTATTCAAAGATTCATTAAAAACAAATGTTTAAATTAATTTAATAAACTCCAAAGAACGCTTGTACTCATTATTTGCATGACACAGAAGAGACAACGCGCATTTTCACAAATTGAAGTAACTCATTCTTAATGAAAACTAGAGTCTTTCGGTAGTTCTGGACCTACGTTGATGGAATGAGATAATTATTTGCAACACTTGCAACAGTTCGCTGAGTTTTGCGTGCAGATACGAATTTATTCCATTTTAAACGAGTACAAACTTGCATTACAAACTCCCTTTTCTACAGTTAATTAACTGATGTTCGAAATTCTGGAACAAATTTTCATATTTAATTTGCCCTGTCTTAGAAGGTTTAGAAGTAGTTAAGAAAATTCTATAAAGAAGAAAAATCCTTTGCTTACTTTTATTTGAAAAACTTGTTCTCATTTTCAATTTGCTTGCTTAATGCTTCTTAGAATAGTTATTCTCAAATGAAAAGTAACTTGTTTGAGTGTAAATTTGTTGCGTTTGCTTAGAGTAAGTTAGAATAATAAATGCTTAAAAGGCTGTTTAAAAAAAGATGAGATCACTTTGATATAAATGATTTTGAGCACATTACGTATCTTAGAAAGCAAATCAATTTACTAAATTACAAATCTCTAAGACCATGCACTTAACTAATTACTTGGAACTAGGTATTTTTTTATTGGCATTTTTATTAACAGTTTAGAATTTAAAACTTCTATAACGTATGGGCAAAAGTTTTTGATTTGCAAAGTGTGTAAGAAATTTGCAAATTGAAAAAGAAGTCAGTTTCGTTTCAATATTCTTGACAATAAAAATGAATTAGAAAAATAAAGAGATAACTATTTTGATTCTAATATCAGCAGTTTCTATTATATTTACCGATTTTTGACAAAAAAAAATTATGAAAAATCTAGTTGCAAAAATAATTGTACATTAATGGGGGAAAATTTGACTAGCAAAGATATTAGTTGTTTTAACTCAAAGTTCTGTGGATGATAAATGGAAAGTCGAAGAAGGTGAGAGCAAGAAAAGAAAAATTTTGTAAAGAATGAAAAAAAGGAACATTTGTAAATAATGAATACCATGAAAGTTATTAAAAACTTCATTAATATTCCTTATAAACACATGCTTTTCCTTGAAAATCTGTATTGACTGTAGAGAAGATATTTCAAACTTAAGATCAATAATCAAGTATTGTAACAATAGAAATTTGTTTCATTTCTTTGCCTTGTAAACATCTTTATTGACTTCTATATTTTTCATTCATTTATTTATTTATTGTTTTGTGAAAAAAATTTTTTGATTATAATATAAAAATAATTTTATGACCCTGGTAAAAGACGCATACATTGTAAAAGATAATTTTCACTGTTTTCACCCTAAGCGTCAACACATTAAAGCCGTTTGTTTAAATTTTGGGCAGTTCATTCAGTTTTGCTTACCGGAAGATAACTTGAACTTTTTTCAAAATCTTTTTACGATTATTTCTGAAATTTCTCTTAATTTTCAACAATTATTTTATTGTTTTGAACATCGCTTAAACAAAAACGTGAACAGACATTATTGTTAAAATTATGCTTATTGGATTAATATGTTTCTTTAGATGTAATGTTCTTACGTACGTTCTTACGTAGATGTAGTTACGTTGCCAATCTTATAAGAGTGAGACACTATAATTGTAAATGGTTTTGCACTTATATCATTAAAATTTTCATTAAAATTTTCAAAATACAATACGAGATTTTTCTTCATAATGAAAACTAGAGCTTCGGTTGCTCAGGATACAGCACTCGCTTCTAAATGAGGTGATCCAGATTCGAATCTTAGCATAATAAAAATTAATTATTGACGAGCAAAAATAATAAGTTAAAATTGGAGTTTTATAAGATGCCAGGATCATTTTACTGCAAATATAATCAACACTATTTTTAAATAATGTTTTTTCTTTAACTGCAGCGTTAAAATAAAGAATTCATCATTGCGGAAATTAGCATATTTTAGAGAGAAAAGGTTAAGTATTGAAATATTATTCAAGATTTATACTCTGAAGCGATAAGATTAAGCAAAAGCTTAAATAAGTCATACTTTAAACTTAAGCAAGTTAAAATCTAGACATTTAGGGGCAAATATTTCACATGAAATTTAATTTTGCATAGAACCCTGCAATTTAACCATTTACGTACAAATATTTCAAAAATGGAACACTTAATGAGCAATTTAAGTCCAAATAATAGAATAGACTATTGCTTTCGCGTCCAAGAAATATTTTATTGTTATTGATATTATTCCGTTTCTGATTCTTGTTNTATCCTTTATTTGTATTTTTTATGTGATGCACAAAAAAGATGATGCACAAAGGCAAATTCTAGAGCCAAGTGCAAATAAAAAACGAAAAATTGAAATTCCAATTATAAAATCGAATAAGAAAGGGAAATTTTATGAGCCAACAGAATTCAAAATGTTGAAACAATACTGT